GGTTCAGGTTACACTTAAAGAAGATTTTTGGGGCCATCTTCAAGAGGCAGGATTTCTTTGTTCTCCAGATGTCTGAGACAAGTCGTTCTACTAGTAGGTGCACTGACCATGTAGAAATTACAAGCATCACGAATGTGTAATGAATATTTAGAGAATTTCATTGCTGTATATGTTTTATTATCACATATTGTACTGTTTCTGGCAATGGAGTGATGTATGGATGATGTATGGCTAATGTATTGGGGAGTGAGGGTAGCTCAGTGGTTTAAGCATTGGCCTGTTAAACCCAGGGTTATGAGTTCAATCCTTAAGGGGGGCCACTTAGGGATCTGGGGCAAAAATCTGTCTGGGGATTGGTCCTGCTTTGAGCAGGGGGTTGGACTAGATGACCTCCTGAGGTCCCTTCTGACCCTGATATTCTATGATAAGTAGTTGGAGCACAGACCTGGGAATCAGCTCTGGCATTGACTCCTTCCATCATCTTGGGGAAATCACAACCTGCCTGTGCCTCAGTTTCCCTATCTGCAAACTCATGGGGATGGTAATAATTTGTTGGGAGGATTTTTCTAGAATGGAGTAATCCCACTGAAGTGGGGAGTCATTTTGCATTTAGTTCACTAAACTTCTACAAAAGATCCCTAAGAGGGGCCTTGTTTTGTTACAGCTCAGTCAATACTGTATTTTCATGTTAAATCTTTTAAAAAACCTTTATATAATGAAACACTGCATGTTTAGCAAATGTTCAAAATATGGGGGAAAAGTCGTGGGGTGGGGGTGTTCTTAAGATAGGCTCTCTCTGAGCTTCATGCAGTCACAAAGCGATGGTTTTTGTCTTTTACAATCAGTACATGGAATAAAATACTTGTTATAACTTTCACAAAGTGTCTTTCAATGCAGTCTCACCCTTTGTTAAAACTTTAACAGCTTTTAAAACGTTCGGAAAGAAGTCTGGGTAAAAAAACGAGCAAACTGAAGGGGTGACCCCTGGAGCCATTCTAAGGCAGACTATAGCCTTATTAGACTTATCTGTTTTTAAAATGTAGAGAAAGCCACAGCTCTAGCCTGTGCTGTATTATTTTAATAAAATCTATGGACCCAAAACAAACACAGGAGCTTGTACCTGTGTTTCAGCACATGGGTTGCAAACATTTAGAAACAAAGATATTCTGATAACGCAACAGAAAAATTCATACTTAAATCTAAAAGTCCTAAGAAAATGAAAGCTTAATATAACTTTTGCATGGATTTGTTAAAAAGTGGGGAGGAAAATAAACTTCTCTCTGAGCCACTGGATTACAGAATAAGGGGAATATAAACTAGCTGTTACTAAGCCCTGGTCTACACTACGGGGTTAGGTCGAATTTAGCCGCATTGGGTCAATTTTATAAACAATGCGTCTACACAACCAACCCCATTCCGTCAACCTAAAGGGCTCTTAAAATCGACTTCTGTACTCCTCCCCGGCGAGGGGAGTAGCGCTAAAATCGACCTTGCTGGGTCGAATTTGGGGTAGTGCAGACACAATTCGACGGTATTAGCCTCCGGGAGCTATCCCAGAGTGCTCCAATGTGACCGTTCTGGACAGCACTTTGAACTCCGATGCACTAGCCAGGTACACAGAAAAAGCCCCGGGAAATTTTGAATTTCATTTCCTGTTTGGTCAGCGTGGTGAGCTCAGCAGCACAGGTGACCATGCAGTCCCCCCAGAATCGCAAACAAGCTCCAGCCTGGACCAAAAGGGAGCCGCTGGATCTGATTGCTGTATGGGGAGAAGAATCTGTGCAGGCTGAACACCGATCAATAAAAAATGCTAATTTATATGCCAAAATCGCACAGGGCATGATGGACAGAGGCTACAACAGGGACACACAGTAGTGCTGCGTGAAAGTTAAGGAGCTCAGGCAAGCCTACCAAAAGACAAAAGAGGCAAATGGTCGCTCCGGGTCAGAGCCCCATACATGTCGCTTCTATGATCAGCTGCATGGCATTCTAGGGGGGGTACGCTACCACTACCCCACCACTGTCCGTGGACACCTGCAAGGGGGGAGTCTCATGCAACACGGCGGAGGATTTTGTGGAGGAGGAGGAGGAGGAGGAGAATGCGCAGCAGGCAAGCGATGAATCTGTTCTCCCCAGCAGCCAGGACCTTTTCATCACCCTGGAGCCAACACCCTCCCAAGGTGGGATCCCTGACCCTGAAGGCGGAGAAGGCACCTCTGGTGAGTGCACATTTGCAATTACAGTACAGGGTTTAAAAGCAATAGTGTTTAATGTTTGTTTTGCCCTGAAGAATTGGGATGCATTCGCGGCTAGTACAGCTACTGGAAAAGTCTGTTAACGTGTCTGGGGATGGAGCGGGAATCCTCCAGGGACATCTCCATGAAGCTCTCCTGGAGGTACTCTGAAAGCCTTTGCAGAAGGTTTCTGGGGAGAGCTGCCTTATTTCATCCTCCACGGTAGGACACTTTAGCACGCCAAGCCAGTACCAAGTAGTCTGGAATCATTGCAGCACAAAGCATGGCAGCGAATGGTCCTGGGTTTTGGTGGCATTC